CAGAAATCACCATTCACCCTTTACATACTTGACCTCATAAACCGTGGTTGTAGTACACACATACACAAGTCTCAAAATTACTCCATCAATTTAATTCCTTGGCTAACCAATTAGACATATAACATGGAGATCTCAATATTAGACTAGTTTTCCGTAACTAAGTCGATCACAACTTCACCCCATGTCCTGGCTGTAACTCACTTATCTTGTCAGGATAACTTCCAGACACCCGCAATTAATCTGCAAACCACCAACTTCTCACTTTCATTAACACTAAAAAATTCCATCAAAATTAAACATCTCAACACCACCCTGCACTGACTTATCAAAACGATTCTTAAGCACTTGGCTTCACTCCAAACAATTCACTGCCCACGCCATCTAAGCTTGCATGACACGTCTATCCCATCAAACACAATCCCAACTACTATCAACAAGAGATTAAGGGTGATCAGTTCCTCAATTTGTCAATAAACAGCCGAAATCACGATGGGGCATATACCATCTTTACCAAACTATAAGAGCTTTCAACAACACACTGAGCTACAACTCCCCACTTGCAGCATCCTGGAGAAGCACAACTTTCTCCCCCACATGGATTCATTCCCACTCCTGCAGACAAGGTTTAGAATAACAAACGCGTACCGACAGTGTTTTCACACACATGTCACATACAAGGGAACAAACAACATAAAACAACTTAGCCGGATGGACCGACCTGCTCTGATACCACTATTGTAACACCCTTCTAAACCCCACAGAAAATAAGCATAATCAAAGTAAAATTAATATGCATTCACAAAGGGTGTCACACGTATACTTCCAAATTACTTAAAAACCACCCGTCATGCTCAATAACACTGAAATAAATAATCATACTTTACAAGATTTCATTTGCATGTAACAACGGATTCATTTATATCATAATTTTTCATAAAATAAATATTTACTTTTATCCCATAATTCACATCACTTAGGCACGGAGGCCAACAACACAAAATACATCAGAAACATAACCTAAACAATCTCAGTGTTACATGACCAGAGCATGACTCGACCCAATAAAATTAAATCACTAAACAGCTACACCAATAGCGACCTTGCAACTACGAGCAGTACTACGCCTTGAAACCTGCACGATGTCATGAAGAATATCATTCCAGCAGAAGGGTGAGAAATATTATCATAATAACAATGCCTATAATCACATATATAAATGCACAAATACCAAATACATATATTCCACATTTTCTCACCACAATACATTATAAATGTCATATATGTCACTACACGCATTTACCTACTTAAGCACATTCAACAATTCACATGCACTCACACAACATGTTTATTCCCCAATGCATCATATAGAGATGATAATGCGACTCATAGAGACCGACTCACGACTCTATGCAGATGCAAATGCGGTACCGACTCATTCAACAGGTTCAATTGAAGAACCAAAGGAACCATCGCTCGTTACCGAAGTAACTCCCCGTCGGGCCTACGATGTTCACCCATCGCTCACACCCCACATGGGCACACGATGTTTCAGGATTGCTCACACCCCACAAGGGCACACAATCGTTCTGCAGATCCTCCACGGGATCAAGAATAAACCATCGCTCACACCCCACAAGGGCACACGAGGTTTCTGCAGATCCTCCACGGGATCAAGAATAAACCATCACTCACACCCCACAAGGGCACACGAGGTTTCTACAGATCCTCCACGAGATCAAGAATAAACCATCGCTCACACCCCACAAGGGCACACGAGGTTTCTGTAGATTCTCCACGGGATCAAGATATAAGAATGCAATCATGATGCTACACACGCACAATGACACCACATACTCTTAAAATGCATACATATACACAAAAATATACAATTACGCATTACCTCACACAAGTACGTACAATTATACACATAATTGCCAAATGGCCACATCTCACACTTTCATACAACAATCAGATACACATACCATATGACTCATATAAACTCCTCAACTCTCGCAAATCCTCATTTGAATTTTGGGTACAACACATATACCCCACCAGGAACAACATCATAGTTATTCTACCCCGGTGATTACTACACTAGGAACGAAACCTTGTCATTCTACCCCAGTGAGTAAGAATCTCACATGCTTACATATTCTCAACATCATGAACATACACATATATTCTCATGCATACTTCACACATCATCACATTCATCATGCATTCATGTTTAATTCAAACGATGCATATAATTGCCAAAAGGCCATACTCCACAATCTAGGCTTCACGCCATAAGGCTACCCATAACACGTCTCGTCACAATAATACACAAACTATTCACGTTGCATAAGGATTAACATCATTGAACTAAACAATTAACAATTGAATGGAACACACAAGAAAACAACATGTTGTCACACTCGCTACCCTGTTCGCCTAGCGAGCTCCTAGCGAGTGCTCGCTACCTGTTTGCCTAGCGACCAAGCTCGCGAAGGCAATCAGAAGCCACTGACTTGATTCGCTACCCCACTCGCCACAAAGAATGCCCAGTGAATGCTCGCTACCCCCTTCACTACCAGCGAAGAACACCCAAAACCATACTGCCCAAGTCTGGGACCGTTCGCTACTGACTCGCCACAACGAATACCCAGCGAATGCTCGCGACCCACTCGCCTAGCGAACGTGCTAGCGAGGGTCTGCGAACCCAGAATTTCCCCACTGTCCAAAACTCCAAAATCATCGAATTACACCCGATTCAGTCCCAACTCGTCTCGGTAGCCTTAGCCTAGCATTCCTCGACTAAATCCTACCTCTCATTCTCAATTCTAACCATTCAAACTCGGTTTCTACCGATTAAACTCATTATGCCCTAGAATGAAAGATGAGGAAGAACAACCAAACAAACCAAACAATCCATACATAATTACATACATTGGTAAGATAACAACATTTCCCTCCCTTACCTCGATTAATCGGAAGCTAGAAGTCATTCTTGAGCTTTCCAAGCTTTTCCTTATTTTTCCTTCTACTTTCTCTTCTTCCTCCACTTTTCTTTCATGTTTTCTATTTTACATTTTCGTTCCGCTCCCCCTTCATATATCATTTCCTTCTGTTTCTCTCCAATTTATTTCTTCTCTCAAAATATTTACCAATTCATTTTCTCATAAAATATCTTGTCTCATTCTTAATTAGAGAATATCTAGTAAGTCCACATTATTCTACTAAATAGAATAAATCAATTAAATCCAATAATTCACTTAAATCATATAAACCAATTAATTAGTACCATTAGTCAGTTATTGAAATTTGGGCTGTTACACTCAACACCTGTTGATACAGGAGCAAAGTTATCCTTGGCAAATGATGAAGAGGAAGTGGATCTTACTCTGTTCAAGCAGCTTGTTGGCTCCTTGAGATACTTATGCCATACAAGATCTGATATTACTTATGGCGTGGGATTAATTAGTAGATATATGGTGAAACCAACCACATCTCACTTGATTTCATCCAAGAGAATTTTGAGATATGTGAAGAGTACACACATATATAGGATTCAATATTGTAAAGATCAAGATGGTGAGTTAATAGGCTATTCAGATTCAGGTTGGAATGGTGATAAAGATGACAGGAAAAGCACAACAACATATGTGTTCATGATTGGAAAGACAACCTTTGCATGAAGCTCAAAGAAGGAACCAGTGGTGGCTCTATCCTCATGTGAAACTGAGTATATTGCAGCCTCTATGGCATCATGTAAAGCTTAGTGGATAAACATGCTGCTGTTGGAATTGAAACTGATAAGGTGTGAAAGAATAAAGCTCAGGATTGACAGCAAATCAACTATAGATTTGGCAAAACACCCTGTGGCACATGGTAGAAGTAAACACATTGAAACCAAGTTTCATTTCTCAAGAGAACAAGTGAATAATGGAAGATTGAAGGTAAAGTACTGCAAGATAGATGAGCAGGTACCTGACTTGCTTACAAAACCATTAAAGACAAACAAATTTGACGACTTGAAGATGAAACTAGGCATGATTGAAGCACCAAACTAATTGAATTAAGGAGGTGTATTGGTCATGTAATTCAGTTAGTTAGTTGATGAGTTAGTTAATGAGGTTGTTATTAGTTAGTTTTCTGTTATAAATACATTGTACTATGCAGTTAGTATAGTTGATGCTGGACGTTGTAAATCAAACTATTGAATACACTCTCTATTCATCATCTTGTTTCAACATCTTATTTAAACATCATCAAAGCTTTTCATAATTCATCTTCTCCAATTGGTTGTAGCACTGTGTATGATAGGTTCCATCACTATCGAGATGGCGATCAAGAATCTAACTTAATTAGGATTAATTAAACTGAACAATGATGTTCATGAGCTAACTTATGAAGGTAAGTATTTGGCAAGAATGGAGATTGAACCTAGACATGGTAAACTTATTCTTTGCTGTTTCCAACTTTCTTTGGGCAGAGAAGGTGTTGTCCTTGCTGCCATGATGTCCAATAGTAGTAACATATTTTGCTGTCATAAGCTTCATTATTTTATGAACATGGATAGTTTTTTCTGTTTTAAGAGTGTTACTTTTTTGAGCATGAATAATTTTTTTTGTTATTGAAAATGTATAATTTTAGAGACCAATTTAATAAATCTTATATGATTAAAATAACCGACATACTCTTTTGTAATATTTTTATTTTATTTTATTTTAGAATGTCTCGCATATATTTGTAAACTTATTTTAAAAAATATGAAAAAATAATTAAAGAAAGGAGAAGATATAAACACAGTAATATAGACCTATAAAAGAAAAACTCATAAATTTATGTAAAAAAAGTGAGAGTAGTAAATTGCAAAAGAAACATACACAAAACAATTTATTTTGGGCCCAAACCCGAATATAGGCCCAAACTAATGAACCTCTTTATAATTAACACAAAACCCTAATTTTGTAACACTCAAACCTTCTCTGCGTTAGCTTCTCTTCCAGCCGAAAATGGTGAATCTCTTTTTCCTTTCTTCTCCAATTAATTTCATACTGTCATTTCTCTAACTCCGTGCTCTTTGTTTGTTCATTTCTCTAACTCCGTCCGCTCTTTGTTTGTTCATTTCTCTAACTCCGTCCTCTTTGTTTGTTTAGCCGTTCAAGAGATTTGTTGAGATAGGAAGAGTGGCTCTTGTCAACTATGGCAAAGACTACGGGAAATTGGTTGTAATCGTTGATGTTATAGATCAAACAAGGGTAACCCAATTTCTTATTTTTACTTATTCTAACTGTCCATTTGAATAATTTCTCTAAATGTTTGTGCTGTGTTTCTACCCTGAATAATTTCTCAAAATGTTTGTGCTGTGTTTGTTTGTTTAAACAGGCTCTTGTTGATGCCCCTGACATGGAGAGGATCCCAATTAATTTCAAGAGGCTTTCGCTTACTGATATCAAGATTGATATCAAGAGAGTCCCTAAGAAGAAGGATCTCATCAAGGCCATGGAAGCCGCAGGTTGATTTTCTCTCAATTTTTTTATAAAAAATTTATAATGTTTTTTTATATATATATTTTCATATATGTTTTTTTTTAATATGAAACCTTTGTAATTAGTTGATTTACACTTGTTGGTTAGATGTGAAGAACAAGTGGGAGAAGAGCTCATGGGGAAGGAAGTTGATTGTTAGGAAGAGGAGGGCAGCCCTGAATGATTTTGACAGGTTCAAGATTATGTTGGCAAAGATTAAGGTATGTTTTTAGTTACTGGTATATGTTTAATGTTGTTAATTTTTAATGTTGTTAATTTTTAATGTTGTTAATTGCCTATGTTGTCAATGGTAATTGCTTATGTTAGTTTAAGGTTAAAGGGTTTTAGCCTATATTTTCAATGTTGGTTGGTGGTGTTAGTATAATTCTGATGAAATGATTTCAATTTGTGCAGAGGGCTGCTAGTGTTAGGCAAGAACTTGCTAAGCTAAAGAAGACTGCAGCTTAGGCATTACTTCCGGATACATTTATCAAATTTTGTTGTCAATTCTCTATTTTTGTAGTACTTTTGATGTTTGAGTGTTTTGTATCATTAAGACAATTGGTTAAATGTTTGATTATCAGATATTTATTTGTGTTGTGATTTATGTTACTATTCAGTTTTGTATTTTGCCTATTTTTGAATGTTAGTTTTCCTGATTTTCTATAATCTATTATCAAGCAATACATGAGGTTGCAGTTTCATGCTGTTCTCTGATTTGCTACATTGCCATACAAATTCTCCAATACTTTGTACAAGTTCCTCTAATCTACATTGCCATACAAATTCTCCAATACTTTGAATCTCGTGAAGATGTGTTTAGTGTCTGTCTTTGAATCATAAATTCCTTCTTGCAATGCAAGCTATATTGTATCATGTTTTGGACTTTGATCTAGTTGCAAGTCATATACTATGTACATTAGATGAGATAAGATTCATTGGTTTTGTTCTTGCTGCACCTTTGGACTCTTTCTCCTCGGTACTCACCTTCTCTATATGCCTCTATACATCCTCTTCCACCTCTTAACAAAATGTCCCATTCCCAATTTAAGTCCCAAGTCCCAATTTTAACCGTGGCTCTCCTCTAATTATCTGGGTTTGCAGATTTATCAGGCTTCTTTCCAGGTTCATGAGACATGCTGAGCTGCTTGCTGTCTGTCCTGACCTTACTCTAGCTAAGTACACGGACAAATTGTTGAAAAATCCACACCAAAACCAAATTAAATTGTCATGATACTTCCATACCAATAAACTCATTTCAAATTATTAAAATTCGTTTAATAGTGATGAGGTGAGTTCATATGTTATCATGTTTTATAATTGTGAATTCTTACTTTCTTTCTGGTCCTTGTTAAAATGTACTAGTATTTCATTTCATTTAGTATTTTTCTTAATAATAGTATTCAACTAGTATTATTGATCAAATATTATGTTAAACATTTTTGAATTAAAAAATAGTATATTTTGGACAAATTCTGTTGGAACTTTGATTCCAGATAAAATAGCACAACCATTAAATACTTTCGATGGCAACTTAGATTGAAGTAACAGCATCCCTCAATAACTTTTGTTTTACGACATCGAATTTTTCAATTTTACAAATTATCTTAAATTTCAAGGTTAAGACTAAAGAAAAGCTTAAAAAGTGAAGATTCAACTTGAATTATATATGCAATTAACTTAAAAAAGTAAATGAATATATCATGCTCAACACTTTGAAGTTTGAAACACCTTCATGAAGTAACCAAAAGATGATGAATATTCATGTGCCATTTGTCATTTCTCCACCATATTCTTTTTCTCTTTCCTTTGCCGTTTACAATTATTTATTCTTCTATTATTCTCAAATTCAACTTTTTTGTTTGTTTGTATTGTTTTGGTTATTTCAATGTAGTAGCTTAGGAATTCCGAGGAGTATCTTTGAGTCTAAGCTTTTATTTATGTCAAAATCTTATTCAAGATTCTGCATGTGCCCTTTTAAAATAAGGCCAATCCATTTCTTACTCAACACCTATACTTGATTTACTAACTTTTAAGGTCAACTTCTGCAAATATAAGATTTTTTCCCTTCAAGTTCTGATCAAACAATAGTGAACAACATGAGAATCAGATATCTTCATCTCAAGCGCAAGGTAAGCCATTGTTCTTTTGTTAGCTACTAATTTTGCTATAGCAAGACACCTCAAATTGTATCGTGTCTGATACGTGTCAATATATGTAACAGACACATGTTGATAATGGTATATAGAGTTAATCTAACTACTTATTTGGGCAGGCATTTAGGTTGAAAAGGTTTCTGCTAAGAGTTCTAGGCAGAAAGAGAAGGCTTATGCCGGCAAAGAAGCCTTCATGGATGACACCAGTAACACATGGTTATCAAGTGGTGGAGCATCACATGATCATAGATGGTTCAGATTACTCAGATTTTGATTCAATAGTGGTACAAAGAGAGCAAATGGATCAAACAGAATTGTGGTATTTTGGAATCTTTGATCCACTAGTTGGAGACAAGGTTACCAAGTACATGCAGTCTCATTTCTTTTCAAAGAAGCTTCAAGAGGTACTTTGAGTAAAACTACTGTTTTGATTATCTCATAAGCTAGATCTATTCTAATGGTTTCATTGTGTTAACTTAGGCTCAAATATGGAGAAAAAGCAAAGAAATGATGAAGAGAGCTTATGTTGGTGTAAGAGCAAAGATGAGAGAAGAGAATAGACATGAAGAGACAGGTAGAATGGGTTCAGCATCTGTTATGGTAATCAATGGAGAAAAACTTGTAATAGCTAATATAGGAGATTACAGGGTTGTTGTGTGTAGAGATGGCATGGCTCATCAGAAAACTGACACTTATCAACAATCAGCCAAAAGACATTGGTCTCACAGAATTTTTTCAGGTATCCTATACTAAACGTGTTTGGTTTTGTTAGAACCTAGAATGAATGTTCACTAGTATTCACTTCCTAAAATTTGCTATCATAGTATTTTTTTCAATATGTTTTTTTTTGTTCTTCAATAAATGGACTCATTTTGGATTCATTTATCTCATACTAGCATATGAATCAGGAAATGCAGTAGATACAAGGCATTCTAGCAGCTCAGAGCTTGTTATCAGAAACGAATGTATTGATTCTGATACTGAATTTTTGATATTAGCAAGCAATGGCATATGGGAGGTACGCTATAGTATAGATAAACTTGAAAACATTCATCTCAACATATAAGATATAACATTCAGATTCCATTATTCAAATTTTAGTAAATGGATTTCCAAATGTGTAGGTGATGAAGAACCAAGAGGCTGTGAATCTAATAAGTCACATAGAAGATCCACAAGAAGCAGCTGAATGCTTGGCAAAAGAAGCTTTAAATAGGATGAGCAAAAGCAACATCTCATGCTTAATCATTCGCTTTGACTGATGTTTCATCCAGAGTAGTCAGTAGCGGCCAATAACAGCGCTATCCCACTATAGCGGAGTGGAGGGCAACCGCTATGGGAGGAGCCTTAGCAATGTAAAACCCTATAGCAGCCGCTATAGGGTAAATAGCAAGATAGCGGAGCGGAGCAGTTTATAGTTTATGGCCTGCTATTCTTTTTTCCTCTAAAAAACTGAAATTACCCCTTAAGTTTACAATGTTTTAAGGGTAATTTTGAATTTTTCAATCAAATTTAACCTGAAACTCAATCTTAACCTTTCTTCATAGTCGCTTATGCACTTCAAGAAATTCATGTGTGCGTTGATTTATGAATATTTTATGAGTTGAGTTATTTGTTTAATTTTACATTAATATATGTTTATAATTATTATATAAAATTTGTTTAAAAAATGATCAAATAGAATGGTCATCCCGGTATACGGTATCCCACTATCACACTTTTGGGATCGGCTGCGACGCTTTCTGAAAATGATTACTATGCTGAAAATTTCATCATATTGCAATCCTGACGGTAAAATTTTGTACGTAGAATTGTTTCTTACATCATTGACACTTTATTAAATTATTTCCCTCGTTCCACAATGATTGATTCATTTAAAATAAAAATATCATAAAATATTATTCTCAATACTTTTTTTTTAATTCTACCATCTAAAGTATTTAATTCTACCATCTAATTAATTTTACTTTTATCATTTTCAATATTTAATAACGAGTACTTTAATAAAATTATCATTCTCTCTTTCATATATTTTTTAATCTGTGTGAAATGGTCAACCAATTGATTCATCGTGAAACATAGAGACTTTCATATATTTGTTAATGTGTGAAATGCTCAACCAAGTGATTCATTGTGAAACAAAGAGAGTACTATTGATTGATCATAATCATAGTCAAGCTATTTGTTTACATTGCATGGTTCATATCACTACACATTCCATTGACTTCAACAGTTATAGAACAGAAAATATCACGAATAATGCACACAGTGGCGGGACATGACATTATTTTATGAGGGACCAAAAAGATACCTATAATATAACTATTTATAGCTAATTTATCATCAAACAGATTTTGGCACAATGTTTAATTATCCTTGTTTTAACTAGAGAATCACTTTCAAACATCTAAAAATGAAATGTAAAGTAAATCTCAATATTTATTCCAATTGTATTAATTGCCCTTGAGGACTGTTTGTTTCTATGAACAAGCCAATATTTATTTCTTGTAGTTGTAGGGTAAGAGATTTCTTGTAGTTTATGCTCATAAAATACAAAATATTTAAAGACAAGAAAAAATATCATAAATGTCAGCCAAATCCAAAATGTGGAGGGCCACCCAAATCTTAAAAAAGAGGGGAAAAAACCTCAACCATGTGAGGAAGAATCTTGTAGTTAAACACTTTCGGCTTTTGAAAAATGCGGTAAGCACTTCATATGTTCTAGACATTTCCAATTTACAAAACAAAAATGCTAAAATATTTGTTCCACAGAAAGAAGAAGAAAATAACAAAATATCATCATTAATCACTTGTGGATATGAATAATGTTAGATGAATATACAAAGATCAAATTTCACAGCAATACATGCTTAAGTTATCTTTTCCTGCTCCTCACATTTAAGACCAAAAAATATATATCAAGGGTTTAAGCTTGTAACTGCATCAACCTTACCAATAACAGCATCCACTCTATCAAGCCATCTGTATCTTTTTTTCACTATTCTTTCGAAATGGTGATAACAGCGAAAACGAGCGAGAAGCTGCATAACAATCACAACCATATTCAAATCAGTAATACTACTATATAGACTATACTATACCGACGAGGATAGTAATATATGAAAAGTTGACTCAAGTTCAGTGCTTACACTTTTGTTGAGTTGTGCTGGCAGTGGGAGTTTCATCTTGAGAGATCAAATTCTTTAAAGTATTAACTGAAGATGACATGAAATATTTGATACTCAGTATATGCACACATAAATATGACCGAAAAAGTGGGACTTAGTTTAAATAATAATTTTAATCTGCTGATGACTTTGATGAAAGCATTACCTTCATTAGAGGAACTGTTTGTTCCAATCTCATCTGCCTCAGAGCCATCGACACTGACATTATCTGATTCCATGTTGCGCGTTGTTGGGCTATGACTCTTTTTCCCAAACTTCAGCAGTCGTCTGAACCCTTTAGCTGATTCCTTTACATGAGGCTTCTCGGTTGCTTCAGGAATCTTTTCAAGTGTTGAGTTCCTGATGTCAGACACACGTGCTTTACCAGTGTCTGCGTCCATTGCGGCAGTTTCTGAACTTGTGGGAGCTGCTTTGCCATACTCGCTATTTCTTGTACTGGGATCTTCCATAGAAGAAACTCGAGCATATGGGGCACGATATGCTTCCTCAGCAATACTAATGCTGGATGATTTTGAAGGCTCTTTTTCTGTATTATCTATTTTGACCTGCTTTTTTGGAAGATAGTATATTCAAAATTAGCCTATGCAGTAAGACGGTATCTCATCCATGAAGCATGTACAATTTGAAGTACATTTTTTTTCTTTCAAAATAACGCATGTGACTATATACAACTTCATAATGCTATATCGCATATTACAACAAGCATCTAGAATTTGAATCTAAGGTGGTTGCAAGACTAATGTTTACGTAACTTATTTAAAATAAAATAGGATACGCTTATTAGAAAGCAGAACATTTATGAGAGTAGAACTAACAAGGTATTTAAATCACCATCAAAGTAGAACAAAATATGAAGCTTTTTAATTCACCTTACCCCTGCGAGAGTATGAACTAACAAGGTATTTAAATCACCATCGAAGTTAATGTAAGTTGTTGTGAATACATACCTCAGTATATATGGGTTGCAGATGTGATTGGATCTCTGAGGTTTCTTTATCTATTGTGTCCATGCTTAATGGTGAAACAGGAGCACGAATGGCAACATAATTGGATGTTGTCTCAGTTTTCTCTTTCACGTTATCACTATCATATTCTTTCACAGGGGCATAAATAGAAGGCACATAAGGTTTCTCATGCTCAAGCATCACAACAGTTTTCTCAATTACAGGATTGTCATCTCCATCATCAATGGACGAAATTCCCGTTTCCTTTTTCTTTAGCATGCTATTGGTACCTTCTGAATTCGTTGAAGATTTGTTATCATTCAACTTCTGTGTCTTTACTTTCACTGATGATACATTTTGGACAGTTCCACTTGCTTTAGATGTTCTAACCTTCAGTTCTGGAAGAGCTGCTATCTTGCTTTTATCATGATTCACAATGGCCGAGATCTTTTTGCTCTCCGGTACATCAGATGCTTTAGTTTTTGATATTGTTCCTGTACTACGTGGTTTAACCGAAGAAGTCTGAGGAATGGAACTCATTTTAGGTTCTGACAATCTTCTAATCCGTGCCATCGATGCCTTAGTATTTGTTTCACCATCACCTTTCTCTAGCTTAGGTTCAGGCAAAGAAGACACTGATTGGCTTAATTTGTTATCATTCAAGTGGCTTCTACTACTCAACCTGCTGGTTTTTGAGGTTTTCAAAGAATCAGCCGAACCAACAGAAGCAGTTTTGGTGGGGAATCTTTGAAGGGGTGAGGATGGCCCTGGTTCTGAATCACTAAATTTTGAGCCTTTATGAGAGCTTGGTGAAAGTTTTGTAGGAACTTGTTTCTTTGTAACATGAGATGCCGCTGGTGACTGTGAAGTGACTGAGCTACTCTTGGCAGCGATTCTCTTTTGTCTTTCCATCTTTAAAGTTTCTATGCGTTTAATTGCTTCCTCTTCCTAGATATTAGAAGGAAAAAAAGTGTTGTATAATAAATGAACGGTTTTTTCAATTTAATGTAAATAAAAACCATGTTAAGGTCCTGTATACAATTTTCACATCAATTTTAAGCTAATTTTATGAGATAGAAACGTGAGTGTGTTACGGGAGTAAGAGTGAGTACCTTCTCTTTCTTCATTTTCTGGAGATCAGCTTTGTAGTTTCGTAAACTCTCGGCACGTGCTCGTGCTTCTTCCAAAGGACTAAGTTTAGAAGGCTTCCCTCTCCTTATTGGTCCGACACTCTTTCTTTTATCAGAACTATTTGGAGTAGTTTTCGATTTTGGCTCCTTATCCGGCCTCTTAGATCCTGGTTTAGCATCGGCCAATACCTCTTTGTTTTTATTTTGTAAAGCACCACCAGATTGGGCCTGCATTTCATAGTCTAAAGCAGGGTCGTAACTCTTTGACCCCCCTTCAGCTCCTCGTTCAGGCATCATGCTTAATACATCTAGTTGATAATTCGAACTGTCGATCCCATTTACAGGTTTTTCTTTCTTTTGACTCACCATCGGGAACTCAGAATCTATATCAATCATGTTTCTCTCAACATTTCCTGCATCATTGACTTGGATTGATCTATGCTCCAACATGTAGGAATCATCATTCATATCGTGAAACAACTTTCTTTGCAAATTATCGTTTGAATAACCAAGTCCACTGCCGGTAATTTCCAGACCAGAGGAAAGATATGAATTACCGGACTGATTTTCTTGTTTGGAAACAATGAAATCATCACTAGCACCTCTCCTGTAACCACCGCTTCTTCCATTTGCTTCTAAAGATTGTGCATCATCTATTGAGCGACTGCCTTGAACTTCATGCATTTCCCGCCCATTCAAAACTAAAGGATCATTGACTGAAACATGATTTTTTCTTCTCCTATCATCCACCTTTTCCATACCAAATTGGTCATGGTCAATGGCGTGCCTATCTTCATCAACATCTCTGAGTAAGCAATTTTGGAAAGCTTGCCAGTGTCCTCCATCTGCATCCTTTACATAGTCCGTTTCTTCCTTATCAGATGAATTCAACTTCTTCAAAAATTCTTTTCTGGATCCCCTTCTTTTTGAAGTCTTCACATGCTCCTGATTATCAATATCTTCATCAGTTTCAGAGGCAGAATCTGAATACGATCCACTGCCAGAAGAGTTTTCTGTCTTTGTTATGTAATTGATATTCCTAATAACCACCATGCCAGATTTCTGTCTACCCGATCGGCTACCCTTCTTCCGTCGATCTCCTGTCTGTGAACCTTCCCTCTCCACATCCACTTCATCCTGCAACCTTGATTTTGAAGCTTCTACAGCAAATGCTTCTGATTCAGTATTGCTATGTCTACTATCCATGGAATGCCTTCTGAAACCCATATTTTGAGCAGCAGCTAGTCTAGGATCCTCCATAGGCGAATAATTTTGCTGCATATATGGACTGTTTCCATGATATGTTTGATAGTAGGGTATTCCTTGCACTGGATATGGCTGATAGACTGGTACAGCACCTGGTGGAGAATGAATAGGCCAAGGAGGGAACATGTGATGCGGAAATTGACCATGCATATTATCTTGGTGGCCTTGACTGTCCATTGGAGGCACATCTGGAAAAGGGAAAAGTAAATTGTGAAACGACAGTTTTGTCCATATAAGTCCATTTGTGTATGTGCATATAAAAAAAGAGTAACGGAATATTATTGTAATTGTATACATTAACTTCTGAAGAATCCATAAATTCATAAGTTCATAATGCTCTGGAAATTGTAAGGTACCTGAACTTGATTTCCCATTGTTCTCTGAGTCAGCATGGGATGCAAAGGGCGAATTGGGAAGTATAATGCCCGAACCATTTAATGCAGAGAATTCTGAGCGATTGGACAACATTTCAGCAGCTTCAATTTCAAGCCATTGTCCATTTTCATGTTTTCTTTTCCAAAGATCTCTAAATTTTGCAGATGCCTCCCTGATAAGTGACAAAAATTAGCATCAGCATGATTGGACAAATGTCACGTGTTACAGGTCAATGGGAGAAAGAACACAACATTTGACCAATTAAGGTCAATATGGTTTATGAAAAATCAGAGTTCTCTTACATCAATCGAGATGCTCCAAAGCATTCGGCAAATGACATCAAAGCAGGTATATAATCAATCTCAAAACCAGCAGCAACAGCACGTGCAAATGCCATGCCTTGCTCTTTCTGCAGCACTGATTTCCGCGTCTCTAGGACTTTCAAAAGCTGAACTCTGAGAAAATTTGATATTATTGAATAAAACATATGTTAACAATCTGCTTCAGATAGTGAAGAGTAGCTTCATACATAACGAACACATCAACAAAATAACAGCATATTTTATCATGTCATAGTTACGTGCAATGCTGGGAAACAAGAAACTCAGTCCAACCGAGCTTTACTTAAAAAACTACAACAGCATAGGAAAACTTGTCCCAATAGTTTAAGCTATGATGGATGAATTAGAAAATAATCTCTAACTGTATTAGAAGATGGAATTTACTTTGAGTTTCCTTCTGATGTGGCATTTCCATTTACTTCAGGTAGATGTGCATCAGGCTGAAACATAACCATACAATTAGAAAAATAAGTTAAATCAATAAATGAATATGACATTTATTATTGAAGACCCATTAACCTTGTAAAGTACAATCGCTTTCTCCTCGTTAGTATCATGTTGAGTCTTCCTGCCTGTCCACAGCAGCAAGTTTTATAGGTTGTAAACTTAAATCTTGAAAATCTCAGTTGAATACAAGTCAGTAGTTCTCAACGATAATTAGAAATAAACTCGTTCTTTCAAAAGTACCTTCAGTGTTTTCTGCATGTTTTGCTTGGTTTTCTTCCGCCTGTAGAAATATATGATTACTAAAGCAGTCTTTTACGTGAAGACAATCAATCATACAACAATGCTTGATATTATACTTACAGAGCTAATCCCTATCGAGCTATTTCCTTGAATTGCAATTGCCTCTTCGATTTGTAAGATTTCAGATTCTGTAGTATACACGCGTTCCAATATCTCAGGAGTGTTAACAAAGCGAACAAACCTATAAAACCATAGACGATTTACGAAAGGAACTTCAGTCTAGAGATTAAATGCAACAGCAACTCAAAAAGAACTTCAAAAATATCATTCTAGAACATGCTATAATACGAATGACAATGTTTTTGAAGCTATACCAAACATATTAATAAACCAAAACATTAAAAGTCAAACCTTTCAAGAGTTCCTTTGGTAAACCATGTGGAATCACTTCCATCATCAGGCTCAAGAACAATTGAATAACCACCCTTGTCCATTTGATCCTGAGCAGCTTTCAAGTGAGAAAGAAATGGATTGAGCAAACCAGAGGCAATTTTCTCCTTCTTTCCATTCACAGTTATAACCAAGTCAAACCTGATTTTTACAGAAGCAGGAACATTGAAAAATCAAACACATAAGTCAGTTTTTACAAACAATGTGTAATTTTTTATCATCAAGCTTTTACATATATCAATTAGTAACAAAATTTAACAAGTATAAAAACAAGGGTTTCTCAACTCTCCTAGTTAATGCACCAATCTAAACTTGCTTATAACACTTATGTTGCAAAAACCATATCATGTTACTAGATTCCAATTATATCAGCAAACTTGAAAATTGTAACTTATTGAAACAACTTATTTCCAATTAAAGAAATAACCTAAAGTCATTAACATCCTTAAACAAACCCAAGTACACCAAAACCATCATTAGTATAAACTAAGCCAAAAAAAGAAAACTTCACCTTTGCAAAACTCAAACCTATTCATTAATTAGTTCAAAGTTTTCAACAAAACATTCAATTAAACCCATTGACCAATGAACTATTACCTTGTTCTAGTAGGTGTGAGTTGAAAAACAGCTGAATCCAACCTCATTTTCAGTCACAAAAAAAGAATAACCAACACAGCTTAGACGAATAATCCACCAACAGGGTTCAGAATCAAAAAACCAAACAGGTTCAGTGAAAGAAAAAAAGTATTTTTATATATATAGAAGAAAAGAAAATAAAAAAGGAAAAAAAAAAAGGGTTAAGTTTGAAGAGAGAACAAAAAAAGAGAGTTAGAAGGTTAAGTTGAAATTGTGAAAGAAAGAGAAAAAGGATCCAAAGATTGTTTTTTGTTCTTGTTTCTCTATGGATACCAACTCCAACGAATACCTGTGTGAACGTGACAAAATAAAATTATGATGAATTTAAAGAGAATAAGGGTAAAAATGGAAATACATAAAAATAGACACTAACAATTGGAAGCGCCGAGGTTTGACAGTGACACGGTCAGAGAAACAGATCTGTGTTTTGTAGCTTCAAGGTTGTCTTGGAAATTACTATTTTACCTTCTTCTTCCATTGTGTTTACTCCCTTTGCGTTTCATTATTAAAGATTAATCACTTTGTAGTCACTCAAAATAATTAAATGCTGTTAAATGATGTGGTTGAATTATTATATTTTAATTTTTTTTCAAATTTTTACGGTAAAAAATTTATTGTTTTTTATCAGAGGAAGTGAAGAGGATGAGAAGGAATCTACACTTTAAGTTATGATGAAGAAATGGAACTTCATTCATCACTACTAAGCCACTAAAAGTCAATAATTGAAAATGAAGAGGAATATATATAGTATTGTTATGCGTTTTCCTTGATGCTTCCATTTCTCTTATTAGTTTCTTATTGTAGGAATAATTATTTTTATAATAATGTGTGTTTTATGTATGAAAAAAGGGACAGAACATAAATTAATTAGTAGTGGTTAGAGAGAGATATGCACGGGTAGCCCTACAATGCATGTCACAGGGGACAATTGATAATTACTAATTAGTCCTTCAATCCGACAAAATTATGCAAGGCTACGAGAAAATGGTAAGTTAAATGGTTTGAATTAAAGGTGTAAATTATTGTAGTATGTTTATTAAACTATTTATAATAATTTTGTTTGAATTTTATTTTTAAATCCGAATAAAAGAAAAAGTCTCTCAGTTTATAGTTCTTTTTTAACAATTTTTTTCAACAATTAAAAGAAAAAGTATGAATTGGTACAGCTTTGCAGTGCTTCTTTTATTTCTGAAATCAAAATCGTTTTTCATTTGCATGTTCCTTTCGTTTCTTTTTTAAAAGATTATTTTTTTCTTCTGACCAATCCAATTGTAAAACAAAAAGGTTTGGCTAAAGAGCTCGCAGTGAAAAGTCACAGCACGCACGTTATACATGTTAGTTACTACTAAGTCAAATTATTTTATGTGTTCTTGATTATTGGAAACCTAGAATTCAAATTGGTATTAGAAATAAAATAAAATGCAGGACAAATAATTATATTAAAATTAATGTTTATCATATGATATTAGAATACGCGACAATCCATCGTGGTATAGGGCTGCCATAAGTTTTTATGGTTGTTTCTTGCTTAATTTTTCTATTGTCTTAAAGTTTTTGATGAATATACAATGTCAAAATCTCTTAAAATCATGAAAATTTGGTCCACTGAGTCACCTCTCTTATAAACCAAACATTTCACCCATTCTTGGTCGACGTGGGACTTTAACACTTTCTCACTTGAAAACTCAACAATCTTCCCCACAAGTGTGAGTCACTCATATCACTAATATTGATCCTCACTAAGATCCACTTCCGCTCTCCCACCGAACCAACCAGCCTTGTACTTGTGGGTATCCAATGTCATACCTCGAAAAATACGATCATTCACAATGGTCGCGAAAAAATAGTTTGAACAGGGTCACCATCAAACTTTATCTATTCCGAAATGAAGAGGAAAATATCAATAAAACCTTTGGAAAAGAAAATGCTCATCGCAACCAAATTCGGATTTGGGGAGTCGATTATGCAAGGTGAAAATATTAATAACACTCACGTCTATTGCACTCAATGGGAACCTCTTAGTTAGATATGCAATTGAATGTTAGCTTATATCATTTGTTTTCTTCTAATGATAAAAAGATTAAAAAGGAAAAAGAAAGAAAGAAAACCGCAAAGTTTTATTAAAGGGGGTACCTGACAAGATTGCGGGTCTTGCTCCTACGTATCTCCAAGTGCAATAGAGTATTCAATGCTACGTAGTTCTAGGTAGCTTATGGTTTGTTGGTTTGTGTTTTTTAATGAACAAGTATTTAGATCACGTTCTAAGGGCTAAACATTGGTTTGTCTACTCTCGGCGGAGGTTTAAACACTAGTTCGTATGCGTGTTAGAATGGACTAAACAATGTTTTTTGTGAAAAGGTTTTTGATCGCACATGGGCGAGTAAAAGAGTTTGATTGGTTAAGTGTTTTGTTGGATGGCGATTATTCGAATGGTCGAGTAAGACAACTCATATCCAAGAAATCAAGGAGAGAAATTGAAGGCCCTAGACCATCTCCCTTTTCATCCTTAATTGCGAAAGGGTTCAATATAGTTAGAGCATTTTAATTGGATGGCGAGTACTCGAATGCCAAGTAAGGGAATTCACATTCAAGTATTCGGGAAAGAGAATAGAAGGCTCTAAACCATTTTCTTTTTCATCTAAGTCTTTAAGAGAATAGGTTTGATTTGATCTTAATTAAGAAGAGATTTTAAGGTGAAACATATTATAAGTTTTTTAAGAAATGACAGTTGTTTGACTAATTGAGTAAGACAATCCTACCTAAAAAATTGAGGAGAAAAATTGAAGGCTCGAGACCATCCATATTTTCATCTTTAATGAAATGATATTTAAGTATAGGTTAATGTATTTTAGATAAACAGTGAATACTTGAATGATCGAGTAAGGCTACTTGTATCCAACTATTCAAGACAGGAATATAAGGCTTTATACCACTTCTTTTCCGTCTAAGTTACTGTGAAAATGATTTGGATTTGAATCAGATTGGAAGTTTTTAAAAGAGATGACAATTGTTCAACTAATCGAGTAAGGAAACTCGTACCCAAACAATTGCGGAGAGGAACCGAAGGCTCGAGACCATCCCCTTTTTCATCTTTAATGAAATAGTGTTTAAATATCATTAGGTGTTTTTAATTAATTTGGATAAAATACTCGATGTTGATCGAGGGTTGAATTTGCGTTTGCGGATGAATTGAATTAAATGGTTTAAAATAATGAGGACATAAGTTGATCAAATTTTAATTAACAAAATTAATCGATTAAAGTTTGATTAAATCAATTAATTAAAGGTAATTAAGTTTAATTATCAAAATTATTCAATTAAATCAAATAATCAAAATAATTAAAATTAATCAATCAAAATTAATTAATTACATAAAATTTAATTAAAGCAAAGTTGAAATAAACAACAAATGGATTGCAAAATGATCGAAACAAATTAACACACAATGTGCTTAAAGCCAACTTGTGCATAATGACAACACGAGTAATGTCATACACAAGATCATAACATGGACAAATATCCTCTAAAATATATCAAAATTCGGCACCATAACAACATAAAGATGTTGAGTCCGCGAGAAACCTTGACTTTCATGATATCTAAATGCAAACACAAAGAAAAAAAATGAACTATGTGAAATTAAAACGACAAACATGAGATTCAAAACAACATAAGTTATGTTGGTACCGTGATGCAATGTCGCCAAAGCTGTTATTGGTGTGTTGCTTGAAATGACTCGATGTTGTTGCTACTGAGTTTGGATTTGGAGTGAAACAAAGGAAGGTTCGGGTTTGTTGTTTGTTGTGTTGTCTCTGATGGAGTTGATCAATTTGAAAGAGAAATGTCGCTTTTGGATATACTTGATAGATTCAAGAGATTTCCAGTTCCTTCATTGTAAAGCAAGACGAGCATGTTTCGTCCGGAAGAAAGCCGAAGCATGAAACCTCAAGTTTGAATCCAAGAAATCTTGTTTTGAATACGATAGTGATGGCACATTGGACTATTGTTGTTCGTGTGCGAAGAGGAAGATAAAACCGTCAGCTTTAGTGGTTGTAAGGCTAAATCGAAAATGGTTTCAAGGGAACGGAAGTGTGATTAAAGGGGATTGTAAAATCAATGAAGGTTTATTTACATGGTGGTGGTCGTGGTTGCAGGTGGCTGAGATTGATGAGTGAAGGTGATTGTGGGGTGGTGCGTTGTTTTTTCTTTGTAACGTGAGAGAGGAAGGTTTATTGAGGTGAGAAGTAGAAGAGGTTGAAGGAAACTGTGTAGAAGGGAGGCAAAAAGGTTGGAGGAGATGTATGAGGATTGTTCATGTTTTGAAAGGAGAGGCGAAAAACAAACTTGCAGGGGAATTTTTGTGTGTGAGAGAATCAGTGTTTATGAGAGAGGATGCACTACAAGAAAATTAGGGTTTTACGACACAAAATTTGCGACAGTTACTTGATAATCGTCGTAACTCTAATATAGACACGCGTTTCACGACAGTATACACCTACCGCCCTTACATTTTAAAAAAATTATTAAATATTACGACTGTTATCATTAAACCGTTCTACAATAAGTTCAAGACTGTCTCAAGAACCGCCCAAAATTTTATGTCACGATGGTAGAACAACCGTAGCCCCTAAACCCAGTAACACAAACTATAACCAATGGCAAATCCAGAATTATTTGTTTGTGGGGACTAAAAACTAATCTATGTATTTTGAATAAATAAATGACTAAAAATTTTTATAAAATATAATAATAATAATAAATTAAACTTAAAATACATAAAAATTAAAACATTATATATACTCAAGATAAAACTTTAATTTTAAAAACAATTTTTATAGTAAAAATTAAATTCAAAATATTATATCCAAAATTAAAGTAGTAAAATTAAACTATATATCAAAATTTTCTAAACTCAAAATTTTAGTATATATATATATATATATATATATATATATATATATATATATATATATATATATATATATATATATATATATATATATATATA